ATGACACAATGTTCAGATATACACCAAAGATATTGGTTAGGGAATTGGATAGGTATTTCAAAAGGAATAATTTGTAGTGTTAAGTGGTAAGAGCGGGGGAGTGGGGTTATGCGGTAATGGTAGGAAAGTGGGAATAGTTTGAGTAAGAGTGAAGGATTGGGACCAGTTGTGGTAAGAGAGTGGGAGTTTGACCAGTTGCAGTCAGAGCGGAGCAGTGGGATCAGTTGCAGTAAAACCGAAGGTGGTAGAACAGTCGGTAGTTCTTCATTGGAGTTGGCACGGGCAAGGGGGGGGTGCAGTGAGATCTCCTCGGGGCTAAATTGGATCCAAGGTGACATGTTTGGCAACAAAATGTTAGAATCGATCCATCCCTATGTGACGGTCTTTTGTCCTGAGCCAGGGGAGTCTGAAGTTTTCCAGGGCACTGCTGATAACAGCACAGTCAGCCTGGCACATCGGCAGGACCTGGAAGGGCAGAACAGTCGCTGAGGGAAGGGAACCCTCCCACTCAGCTCCTGATAACTCCACAAGCTAAAAAGTGCTAATCGGTAGGGTAGTCCTAGCTGGACAACGACAACAAAATTACACTTACAACATGCCTTTCACGTCGGGAGAACATCCCAAGGCATTGAACAGTCCGAAGGTCGAAAAGGAAGGTCTTGATTTGTACGTTGAAGCATGCAAGGGAGGGAGCAAGGTAAAAGGAATGTGGGATGGATTTCCAAATGTTGGGGGCAGAAGTGCAGAAAGCCCAAAAGCCAATAGTAGGGCGGTTCGGGCGGTAGACTGGAGCAGCCTAGAGCCTGTTAACTTGAATTATGAAGAGTGGCTAGAGAAGACAGAAGCAACAACAACAACAACAAGATTCCATTTATTGAGCGCCTTTCACGTCGGGAGGACATCCCAAGGCGCTGTACAGTTGGGTCAGGACCCGAGCAGGAGGGAAATGGTCAGGGGGAGGGAAGGGAGGGAGCGAGGAGGGGGTAGAGAGTCGAGAGGGGAGCTGAAGGCTCGGTCAAAGAGAAAGGTCTTGAGACCGGCCTTGAAGGAGGAAAGGGAGGAGGCGGCGAAGGCACTGGGGGATAGAGTTCCAGAGCCTCGGGGCTGAGAGGCTGAAGGCCGGCCACCGATAGTAGGGCGGTTGGGGCGGGGGATGTGGAGCAGACCGGAGCCAGAGGAACGGAGGGTACGGGCGGGTAGGTAGGGGGATAGTAGGTCGGAGAGGTAGGAGGGAGCGAGGCCGTGAATGGCCTTGTAGGTGAGGGTGAGGATCTTAAACTCGAGCAGAGAAGTTTAAGAGGATACTCAATTGAAATTTTCAAAATTATGAAGTACTTCCATAGGGTGAATAAGGATAAGTTATTTCCAATGGCGTGTGTGTCGGTAAACAGAAGGACACCGATTTAAAATAGTTGTTAAAAGAAACAGAGAGGAAGTAAGGAGAATTTGTTTCGCACGGCGAGTTTTTCGGATCTGCAATGCAATGCCTGAAACGGAGGTAGAAGCCGTTTCGATAATACATTTTAAGTGAGAAGTAGATAATTATGTGGGGAGGACAGGTTCGCATGGTTATGGGCAGAGATCGATGGAACGCGATTAATTTGGATTGCTCTTTTCAAAGAACTGGACAGATGTGATGATCCGAGTGGCCTCCTACTGTGCTGTATAATTCTCTGATTCTATGAGATGGAGGGAGCAGACCCGTTGATGCGGTTTGCAAGTTAAATAATTAGGAGGTGGAAGGCTGTGGAGGGTCTTGAAAGTGAGGACGAGGATTTTGAATTTTATCATCTGAGGGATGGGGAACCAGTGGAGCGGGCGAGGGTGGGAGTTTTGGGGTCACAGTGCCTAGTTCGTGAGGGGATACGAGCTTCCGAGATCTGGATGTGGAGAGCAGCTTGTGGAGGGAGGCAGCGGGGAGTCAGGCAGCCGAAAAACTTGCCAGACAGCAATTTCAATGGCAAACCATGGGGTTTAGTTGGTCTGACTCAAGCAGTTACCCAAGTCTGGGGTCCACAAGCCTCGGCTCTTTCCAACCTGCTCCTGATACTCTCCGGAATTAGTGAAGCAGGATTCGTCCCTCCAGGGAGAGATGCATTCCATTGCAGCGATGTGTGTCTGGAATTTCCATGTGTCGGTGGGATGTGGGGAAATCTCAGTTTGATTTGAATACTCTTAAGCATGGTGACAGGCTGCAGCATGTGCCAGTCACACACCGGAACAAAAAGTAAGATATAGTCGGGGACACATAGTGGGACCTGCTTACAAACACATACCAGTCAGATTGAATTAAACGATAATTTCATCTCTTGACCTGCAGAAAGGTGGGCGCGTCTTTTTCCGTCTGTTTCTGTAACTCCGAAAGTTCTTTTTGAACAGAATCTAATTTGTCCTGGATGTCTTGCAAATGTGTCTCCATTCGGTGTAACAGCTCCTCCTCTTGCTGTTCCAGCTGTCGCTTTACCCGCTGCTCTCTGGCCGTCAGGTTCTGGTGCATTTTAGCAAACTCAGCCGTGAGGTGGTCGTGCAGACTGCTCGCCTGTTTCTGTAAAATGTCACACATCACACCGTGTACACAAGTAAAGAGAGACACTGGGTCATCTCACCGTGTACGTACGATAAAGAGAGCAGAAAAGAGGCTTTGCATTGTGTACACATGGTAAAGATAGACACATTGAGAAATCGCACGATGTACACCCGGTGAAGCGAGACAAACTGAGATATCACACCATGTAAATACGGTAAAGGGAGACAAACTAAGGTATCACACCGTGTAAAGAAAGACACACAGTAAAGAAAGATATACTGAGACCCCGGATATCATACCAGGAACACACGGCAAAGCAAGACACACTGGGAGCCCAGACATCATACTGTGTACACACGGAAAACAGAGACACACTGGAACATCACATTGTGTACATACAGTAAAGAAAAACACACTGAGACATCACACAGTGTGACTAGGATAAAGAGAGACAAAGCGAGACATCACAAGGTGCACATGCGGTAAAGAGGGATACACCGAGAGCTGGTTGTTAGCCGATTGCTGGGTCGCTTTTCCAGGGCTAAGAAGGCCTTCGAAAAACTGCGTTCACTCAATCCAAGTTGGATTTGTGGGACACTGCTGTGCACAATTGGCTGCCGCATTTCACCCACAAATAATAGTCGCTACACGTTACAGTATTTACTGCGAAGCGCTTTGAGAAGTCTAGAAGATATGAAACGTTGCTGTATCAAATACAAGGTTTATTATTAATAGCATATAGTGCAGACATCACACCATGTACACATAATAAAGGAAGAAACGCGTCCGACCCCAGAAATCAGCCCCGACACAATTTACCTTCACTTGTGAAATCTTTTGTTTCTGTTTCATTTCAGCTTGTCGAGCAGTTTCCTTTCTCTGTGTGCGTGAAGCTAAACAGTATTTCACTTTATCCTGGAACAAACACATAATAGAAGTGTTTGAACATGAAAATATCAAGTGGAATAGAATGAGTCCCACATGAAGATTATTGTTACCTTGTAGATTTCAACAGCTTCGTCAATGGGCAGGAAGCTGTGATCTTTGTGTTCCCGCGCATCTCTGCAAATGGAACAAATCAATTTCTTATCAGTTTCACAGAACAGCTTCATTTCCTCCCGGTGTTTCTCACAGTACGTTTAATTCCCATCTCTGTCGGGTCCAGGATCAATTCTCGAGCTTTATGCACTATTTTCATCAGAGCCCAGTTAATATTGAGGTTCCTTTCGGCAATATGTTGCTGACATTCCGGGCAGGAGATTGTCGCCTGCTTTTCCCAGCTCCGGGTGATACAGGAGCGACAGAAGTTGTGGCCACACTCCAGGGTAACAGGATCAGTGAAGATAACCAAACAAATGGGACAGTTTAACTCCTCCGTCAGACACTGAACCTGGAGACTAGAAGCCATTTTCGCAAATGGCTGCCATGTTTCATGCACAAAATATACAGCATATTCTTTTTACAGTATATTCTGTGAAGCGCTTTGAGATGTCACGAAGACGTGATCAAGAGCTATGTCAAATGCAAGGATTATTATTTTAGTCGTTTAACATAATTCACTCTGTAATCCATGGCTGCCAAATAGCAGCTGACGCTTAGTAAGATTCCCCTGAAAGAATATTGTGGAGTCCTGTAGCTCAGTGGTTAGAGCACTCGCTTTGCAAGTGAGAGACCCGAGTTCAATTCCAGACAGAGGGCGAAACCTTGGGCAAGTTTCCTTACTCCACACAGAGCCTAATAATAATCCCTCCAAAACCACAAACAATAATAAATTGGTCATTTTCAATCTACGACTGTTTGTGGGACATTGCTGTGCGCAATTGGCTGCCGCGTTCGCCCACAAATATACAGTCAATTCACTTTACAGTGTGTTCTGTGAAGCGCTTTGGGACGTCCTCCCGACGTGAAAAGCGCTATATCAAATGCAAGGATTATTATTATTATTATTATACTGCGAAGTGCAGAGACTGTCTATTTTGAGGATGAAACATTGCGGCCAATTGTGCACAGCTATATTCCACAAAAGTTGTGACCAACTTATTATTATTATTACTATTTTTTGAAGAAATTATGACCCCCAGAAAAGCGATCTGCTAAGCGATTGACAAGCGGGTTCCTACTTACCGTTAGGTAAACAGGGGCCCGTAGAGTACGAAAACTTGCCTATAGTTTTGGTCTAGGGAATCGAACCAATGTCCTCTCACTTGCGAGACGAGTGCTTTAACCACTGACCTACAGAACTCCTCAGTGATCACAGACACAGGATTCACAATTCTCTGTTCATTTCTTTTCACGTTGGTGTGAACTGCAAGGACCAGTGGTATTCCTTGGCTGAGAAATCAGAAGAAAAACATTAACAGNTTTTTTTTCATTTATTGCAGGTATGAGGTTAAAGATAAAAGGCTTGAGATTGGCCTTGTAGGAGGCGAGGCGGAGGGGCTCTGGGTTGGAGTTCCAGAGGGGAGGAGTAGAAAGGCTGAAGGTCTGACTGCGAATGGTTGCGAATGGTTGGCTATGCAGGACGGGAGATGTGGAACAGGTCAGGGTGCTCAGAGGGAAAGACAGGGACTTTCAAAAATTATTTGGTCACTCAAATCGACAACTGCTTGTGGGACTCTGCTGTGCGCATTGGCTGCTGTGCTTCGCCCAGAAAATATACAGTCAATTTATTTTACGTCTTATCACATCTTTGAGACATCTCAAATGCTTCCCAGAATATACTATAAAGTGAATTGACTGTAGATTTTGTGGGCAAAACACTGCAGCCAATCGCATAAACAGCCCCACAAACAGTCGTGGATTGGGCGAACCAATGATTATTATATTTTTTAAGGAATTGTTACCCCCGGAAAAGCGATCTGTCAATCGACTAACAACCAGGTTCCCACTTACTAGGTAAACAGAGCCTTCAGCTCCCCTCTCGACTCTCTTCCCCCTCCTCGCTCCCTCCCTTCCCTCCCCTCACCCTGACCATTTCCCCCCTCCTCGCTCTCTCCCCTCCCCTGACCATTTCCTCCCTGCTCGGGTCATGACCCAACTGTGCAGCGCCTTGGGACGTCCTCCTGACGTGAAAGGCGCTTTATAAATGGAATCTTGTTGTTGTTGTTGTTGTAAGGAAACTTGTGAAAAGGTTTCACCCTGTCGGGAATCGAACCCGGGTCCTCTCGTTTGTGAGGAGAGTCCTTAGTCCTTCCTGGAGGGAGATAAATTCGGATTCTGCTTTAAGTACTCCCACTTGAATCACCTCTCCACCAATGAGTGTGCCTTCAGCCATTCTGCCCCGCTCTCTGGAACTCTTATCCCGATCAATGCTTCCTCGCTTTCATAGCCCCTCATCAGGATTTATTTCTTTGACCGCACTTTTGACCATCTCTTTCCTGTTTTCCCTCCCCAATTCTGTTCAGCAGCCCTGCTTTTTCAGCCATCTCCCTCTCTGCGAAAGCTTTTGGCACGTCCTTCTAACATCCCTTCATGCCCTGGCATCTCCTGACCTAATTTCTCCTCACTCCACTCCCTGCTGCCTACGCTCGGCTGGCTCTGGCCTCCTGCTTATCCCTCTCCCCCTCCACTCCACCATCAGTGGCCACACTTTCAGCCACTACACCTCCAAAGCTTTGGAAATCTCTCCCCACATTCTTGCCTCCTCCATGTCCTCTTTTTGGGGGGAGGGGGGTCTTGAAGGGGGTAAGGGAGGGAGCAAGGCGGAGGGACTGTGCACCAGAGCCAAAAAACAAGTGGGGCAAGAGCAGAAATATGAAATAAATATAAACCAAATGTAATTTTGGTGTTCTTTTTCCAAATAGAGACGGAGTACACAATGGGAAAGCAAAACTCCTCAGCCATGTTGAACATGACCCACTTGTTCGAGAAAATGCTGACAAACCTTATCAACGATCACTTGGCTCAACAAGATCAGGCTTCGAGCCCGAACGAAAGGCAACCGGGAGAAGATTTTAAATACGCTTACCTTTACATCGTGTTAATCTTCGGGATGTTCACGTTTATTATGGTGTTCATCCTGGCCAGCACGGTGAAATCCAGGAGACAGGAGCACAGCAGTGACTCGAACCACAGCTGCATTGGAGACCCTTCATCCAAAAGGACCTTCAGCCAAATGATCAACGCAAACCAATGGCCGGCCAATGAAAGGGGGTCAAAAGGCCAGCAGGACCTCTGGGAGATGGACGAGACACTGACTTCCTCGTAAAGCAAAGCGTTGCCAGTCATCTGGTTCTCGTTCGGTCAAGAAATAAATACTCTAAAAACACTACAAGGCGTATTTAAAAACACTATTGTGGAGTCCTGTGGCTCAGTGGTTAGAGCACTCGCTTTGCAAGTGAGAGACCTGAGTTCAATTCCAGGCAGAGGGCGAAACCTTGGGCAAGTTTCGTTACTCCACACAGAGCCTAATAATAATCCCTCCAAAACAAAATCAATAATAAATTGGTCATTTTCAATCTACGACTGTTTGTGGGACATTGCTGTGCGCAATTGGCTGCCGCGTTCGCCCACAAATATACCGTCAATTCACTTTACAGTGTGTTCTGTGAAGCGCTTTGGGACGTCCTCCTGACGTGAAAAGCGCTATATCAAATGCAAGGATTATTATTACTATTATTACAAGATTTGCCCACAAGATGCACAGTCACAGTATGTTCTACGAAGCGCTTTGAGACGTCTCAACGGCGTGATAAGGTGCTATAATCAAATCCAGAATTAATGATTGTCATAATAATAATAATCCTTATCATGTCTTTGAGACGTATCAAAGCGCTTCATGGAATCTATTGTAAAGTGCATTAATTGTACATTTTGTTCACGCTGGCGATATGATTATGGTCTTTAAGATTCTGAAAGAACTAGATAATGTAGACCAGGATAAGCTGTTTTATCTTGTACTGAACAGTAGAACTAGAAGACATGGCCTGAGATTGAAGGGGTAAATTCAGAACAAATCTGCGGAGACACTACTTCAGTGAGCGAGTAGTAAACGTGTGGAACAGGATCCCTAGGGGAGACGGTGAAAGCAGAAAGTGTTGATTCTTTCAAGAGCAAATTAGGTAGATTTCTGTTTGGAAATAATGTCTCGGGATAATACACGTTGGGATACATGTCAAGCAACTGCCAGGATGATGGAAGGTGAACTGGATGGACCTTGCTCTTCTTTGCCAACAAATTCTTATGTTCTTATAATTATTGCCGTGTTGGCCAACTGGGTTATTGGTTCTCAACAACTCTGAAGGTTTCTTTTCTCCATTGAGCTTCGATTTCTGGTTGAGGTGTTTAAAATATTAAGGGGATTTGATAGGGTAGCTACAGAGAAACTATTTCCTCTGGTGGGTGGGGGAATCCAGAACAAGGGGGAGAATCATCGTAAAATTAGAGCCAGGCCATTTAGGAGTGAAATCAGGAGGCAGTTTTTCACTCTAAGAGTAGTGGAAACCTGGAACTCTCTCCCCCAAAAGTTTGTGGATTATGGGTGGATATATTGACATTTTCAAGACTGAGGTGGATATATTTTTGTCAGGTCGGAGTATCAAGGGATATGGGGCAAGGGCTGGTAATTGGATTTGAGGTACAGATCAGTCAGGATCTTATAGAATGGCGGAACAGGCTCGAGGGGCTGAATGGCCTCCTCCTGTTCTTGTGTTTCTCCTCCCCTCTTCAATTGCAGGAATTCCCAGCAGTAATTTTAACCGAAAGCTCTTTGTAAAATCTCTAACCTTCCTCGGGTTTTCTACTCTTATGGAATAGGCAATCATGGAAATTTACAGGAGAGAAAGAGACCTTTTGGCCCACCAGGTGCAGTGCACGATCTCTATAAGAGCTCTTCATCTGAGGGTTGGGTGAGGACAAGATGAAACTCGGCTCGGCTCCTCATTCAAAAAGCCTGCGGGGTGTCCTACAAATCCCTTCAAGCCCTGGCACCTCCCTATCTTCCTGACCTACTTTCACACCACTCACTACCCTGTGCCTCTGCTCCGCTGGCTCTGGCGGTCGCTTGTCCCTCGTGCCCTCCACTCCACCATCGGCGGCCGCACTTTCAGCCACTACGCCCTGAAGCTTTTGAACTCTCTTTCCCAATCCCTCCACCACGCTCCACTCCTCCCCCTCTTTTACATCACGACTGAAGACCTTTATCTTCGACCGTGCTTACGGCCACCTCCCCTTGCCACTCCGCCACAGTTAAGCGCTCCGAGACCCTGCACTGCGTGAGGGGCGCGAGATAAAGTTTTTGTTCATTTAGTCCAATCCTCCTGTGTTTCACATTCTCCCTTTACAAATACTTGTTTAATTCGCTTTTTAGCAACTATTTAGCAACTGTATTTGTTCCTTTCACCGCAGCTGTGAGGGAGACATTCCAAGTCTGAATAAACCTTCCAAAAAATTTTAATTCCTTAAAAAATATATAATAATAACGATTTGGGTCATTCAATCCACGATTGGTTGTGGGTCGCTGCTGTGGGCAAATGGCTGCCGGATTTCTGCCACGAACTACGCAGTCAAATTCACTTTACAGCATACTCTGTGAAGCACTTTGAGATGCCTCGAAGACGTGATAAGACGCTAGACGAGACGCAAGCATTATTACAAGGATTATATAACCCTCTGTGTGTGAAAGTAATCATTTGTGGAAGTTCTCTACGTCACCTTTAATGACGATCTTACCTTATGTGTGTGGTATTTTTTCGTGTGTATGTTTTTTTGGCGGCTGAGTTTGGCTGAGTTGCAGGTTACATGTTGTCAGTGGCCTAGGCTAGCACCTAGGGCCAATTACTACACAAAGTGGAACAACGACCTCTGAGACTCCCCCGAAGCAGATGGCAAATGATAATGTTAATAATAATGATAATCCTTGCAATTGATGCAGCGCCTAATCACATCTTTGATTAGGTTTGACATCTTTGATTAGATCTTTGACATCTCAAAGCGCTTCACATTATATACTGTCAAGTGAATTGACTGTATATTTTGTGGACGAAACGTGGCAGCCAATTGCGCACAGCAGCGTCCCACAAACAGCCGTGGATTGAATAGTGATTAAATTACTACTTTAAAAAAAACTTTTTTTTCAAAAAGGGTTTACTATCCCCGGAAAAGTGTTCCGTCATTCGACTAACAACCGAGTTCCTACTTATTACTAGGTTAACAGAGATGTGTGGAGTAAGGAAACTTGCCCAACGTTTTGCCCTGTCTGGGAATCAAACCCAGGACTTCTTGCTTGCGAGACGAGCGCTCTAACCACTGAGCTACAGGACTCCGCGCTGCATGTATGTACAGAATAACATTGTAAAGGACACAGCATCTGTTGCAATCCCTGGTGAAGAGGAATGGCCTTGAATAAAATGTGACAACTACAATCTTGTAACTTGATGTTTCATGTGCAATGTGGGAACGCACAAAGTGTCAACATCTGGTCAACCAACCTTGGTCACGTCACCAAACCTCACCCATCACTGCGCCCCACCCACCCGGGCGATTTAGGGTCAGTTGGTAATAATAATCTTTGCATTTGATATAGCGCCTGAGGACGTCCTAAAGTGCTGGACAGCAGAGTTTTGGACCCTTAGCTGGAGGGAGGGGTGGGGGAGGGTGGAGGGCAGGGGGGGAAGCAGAAAGATCGAAAGTACGGTCGAAGAGGAGGATCTTGAGGTGGGTCTTGAAGGTGGCGAGGGAGGGGGAGCGAGATGGAGGGACTACGGGATGGAGTTCCAGAAGATGGGGGCAGAGTGGCGGAAGGCCCACCCGCAAATAGTGGGGCGAGCGAGGCCGGGGACGTGAAGCAGGCCGGAGCCCGCTGAGCGTAGGGAGCGAGCAGGATGGTAGGGGGTTAGAAGGTCGCAGAGGTAGTATTTCAGAGAGCAAGTGGTAAATGTATGGAATAGGCTCGTTATGGTGAGGGTAGAAGCAGAGAGTGTCGATTCTTTCAAAAGCAAATTAGTTAGATTTATTTAGGAAATAATATCTCGGGATAGAGTACAGAGTTTGGGACGTGACCTGCACAAGCGACTGCCAGGATGGTGGAAGGTGAACTGGATGGGCCTTGGTCTTCTTTCTTCTAGCAAATTCTTATGTTCTTGTGTCACAGATGTATTCAGAAAACAAAGGAGGTTGCAAAGAAATAGCTGTAATTTTCTGGATCGACCACAGTGTCTGTGAATTTTGAATGGCCAGTAAGTCGTGCTATGTGTTGCTGTCGGCCCTTTCGGTCACCCTCCTACCCCCTAACCCTCTCTGTCCTCCGCATCCTCCTGATCGCACCCACCAGCTCGGGTGCAGATCCCTGAATATCCAGCGCCTTGGGAAGTCCTCCTAACGTGGAAGGTGCTGTATAAATGTCATTTGTTTTTGTTGTTGTTGCTGTCACTATTCACTTTTAAAAAAAAGATGAAATATGAGTAACTAGAAATCCCAGTTTGGGGTTACTTCATGACCGCTTGTAGCGTACTGTGGATTACTCAAGCGCACTCCTCGCCGGTCTCCCCAGCTCCACTATTCACAAGATCAGCTCATTCAGAACTCTGCCGCCCGCATACTGACCTGCAACAAACTCTGTGCCCACATCTCACCAGTTCTGGCTCAGGCTCCACTGGCTCCCCATCACCGACCGAGCAGATCGACTTCAAGATCCTCACACTCGTGTTCAAATCCCTTCACTTTCTGGCACCTCTGTACCTCTCTGACCTCCTCAGTCCCCAATCCACCCTCCGGCACCTCCGCTCAACTGGCCTCCTGCTCGTCCCTCGCACCCTCCGCCTCACCATCGGAGGTCGCGCTTTCAGCCACTACGTCCCAAAACTCTGGAACACTCTCCCTCAATCCCTCCGCCTTGCCCCCTCTCTCCCCTTTTTCAAGTCCCACCTGAAAACTTTCCTCTTTGACCGTGCTTACGGTCACCTCCAGTTCACCCCCCCCAACCCCCCATCAACTCCAGTTCGGAGTCAGACTCCACCACTGTTAAGCGCTCTGAGACACTACCCTGCGTGGAGGGCGCTATATAAGTGCAAGTTGTTGTTGCTGCTGCTGCAAAATATGCAATCACTTAGTTTCGCAGTGTATCCTGGGAAGCGCTTTGAGACGTCCTTCTGACATGATAATATATCAAATGGAAGAATTATTATTATGAATTATCCTATAATCCTATAATGAATTATCCTATAATAATAATATAATTATTAATAATAATAATCCTAAAGCAAGAATTAT